GACATAGTGGACAAGAGGTGCTACGATGGGTTGTTGTCCTCCCCAACACTTGCAATACTTGACATTGTTCTGGGAGTGAGACATAATTGAAAAGGGGAATCCACAGGGCAAGCTCCACAAGACAGTGATAGAGAACATAGAAGAAATAGGGCAATACCTTCAAAAATATAAAATACCCAAACTATCAGAAGACCAGATAGAGATCTTAAATAATCCAGTCTCAAAAAAGGAAACATATCTAACTATAAAGGAACTATCAAATTTAAAAAAAAACACTCTCCTGATCTTGGTGGATTCACAGGAGAATTTTATTAAATTAAAAAAAATTTTAAAAACAGTACCCATTAAGAACCCACTCTTTGACAAAAACTGCTGGGAAAACTGGAAAAGAGTATGGCAGAAACTAGGCATAGATCAAAATCTCACACCATATACCAAAATAAAGTCAAAATGGGTTCATGATTTAGATATAAAGGCTGATACTGTAAGCAGACTGGGAGAGCAAGGAATAGTTTACCTGTCAGATTTATGGAGAACAGAAGAATTCATGACCAAACAGGAGATAGAGAATATTATGAAAAGCAAAATGGGTAGCTTTGATTACATTAAATTGAAAAGTTTTTGCAGCACAAAGTCAATGCAACCAAGATTAGAAGGAAAATAGAAAATTGGGAAAGAATTTTTACAACCAGTCTTTCTAAGGGCTTCATTTCTAAAATATGTAGAGAATTAAGTCAAATTTATAAGAATACAAGTCATTCCCCGATTGATAAATGGTCAAAGGATATGAACGGACAGTTCTTAGATTTGAAGAAATTAAAGCCATCTATAGTCATATGAAAAAATGCTCTAAATCGCTATTGTTTGGAGAAATGCAAATCAAAACAACTCTGAGGTACCACATTGCACCTATCAGATTGGCCAATGTGACAAAACAGGAAAATGATAAATGTTGGAGAAGATGTGGGAAAATTGGAACACTAATGCATTGTTGGTGGAGTTGTGAAATGATCCAACCATTTTGGAGAGCAATTTGGAACCATGCCCAAAGGGCTATAAAAATGTGCATACCCTTTGACCCAGCAATAGCACTTCTAGGGCTGTATCCCAAAGAGATCATACAAATGGGAAAAGGACCCACATGTACAAAATATTTATAGCCGCTCTTTTTGTGGTAGCAAAGAATTGGAAATTGAGAGGATGCCCATCAATTGATGAATGGCTGAACAAGTTGTGGTATATGAATGTAATAGAATACTATTTTGCAATAAGAAATGATGAACAGGCTGACTTCAGAAAAACCTGGGAAGACTTGTATGGTCTGATGCTGATTGAAATGAGCAGAACCAGGAGAACATTGTACACAATAACAGCCATGTTGTTCGATGACTAATATTGATAAACTTAACCCTTCCCCAGCAGTACAAGGATCTAAGACATCTCCAAAGGCCTCATGATAGAAAATGCTCTCCACATCCAAAGAAAGAATGGTGGAGTATGAATGCAGATCGAAGCATACTATTCCTGCTATTGGTTCTAATTCTTCTTTACAACATCACTAATGTGAAAATATGTTTAATAGGAATGTATATGTATAGCCTATATCAGATTGTGGACCATCTTGGGGAGGGTGGTGCGGAGGGAGGGGGAGAAAAATTTTAAACTCAAAAGCGTATGGAAGTGATTGTTGATAAATCAAAATAAATTAATTTAAAAAAAACAGTACCCATACTTCACAAATCATTCTCAAAACTGAGGAAAAAAAGCACCTTACCAGAATCGTTTTATGAGACAAATATAGCCCTAAAGAAAGATAAATCACAGAAAGAAAACTATAGGCTGGTATCAGTTAGTGAACATTGACTCAAATTTTGAATAAAAATTCTTGTCTGTCAAACAGACTACAATGATTTATGCAAAGAATTATTCATTATGAGCAAGTGAGATTTATACTAGGGGTGCAAAGGTGGTTCAACATTAGGAAAGCAGTTGACATAATCATATTAAAAATCAAAGCATCCAAAACCATATGATCATCTCAATAGATGCAAAAAAAATCCTTTAACAAAGTATAATACTTATATTAAAAACCCTACAAAGTATGGGCATAGAGGGACTTTTTTAATATTATAAAAATTATCCATTTAAAATCTAAAACAAGCATCATATGCATCGGAGATACACTCAAACTTTTCCCAGTAAATACAGGAGGGAAGCAAGGATGCCTACTCTCCTCACTATTATTTGATATAGTTCTGGAAATGCTAACAACAGCACCGAGATGACAGAAAGAAATTAAAGATATACAGAAAGGTAAAGAGGAGATAAAACTATACGTATTTGCTGATGATATGGTGGTTTACTTGGAAAATCCTAGAGCATCAGCAAAGGTACTAATTGGGAAAATATCCTCAGTAAAGTTGCGGGCTACACAACAAATCCTCAAAAATCAGCAGCATTTTCTATATAACAAAACACAAGAAACAGTAATAGAAAGGGAGATCTCATTCCAAGTAACTACAAAATGTGTAAAATATCTGGAGATTGACCTACTGAAGCACATAAAAAACATATATAGATTGAATTACAAAGTGCTTCTTAAAGAAATAAGGAACAGCTCATGGCTAGGCCATACTAATATAATAAAAATAATAATATTACCAAAATTAATTTACACTTTTAATGCTATGCCAATCCAGTTACCAAGGGGATACTTTATAGAAGCTGGTAAATAATAATAGAGTTCATTTGGAAAAACAAAAGATCTAGAACATCAAGGGGAATAATGAAAAGAAACAAGGATGAAGGGTGTGACAGCACTTCTGGACCTCAAACTATATTATCTGCAGCAGTCATCAAAACCATATTGTTTAAAAAATAGGTAGCTCAGTGAAGCAGACTAGAAAAAGGAGAATTAGAAACAAAAGAACTCAATAATCCAGTGTTTGATAAAGTAGAAAACACAAATTACTTAGGGGAAAAAAGAACAAAACTCCTTGTTTGATGATTTAAAAAAAAAACTGGGGAAAACTGGAAAGCAGTTTGGTAGAAGTTAGGCTTAGACCAATACCTTACACTGTATTCCATAATACATTCTAAATGGATGTGTGACCTTAGTTCTGAAGATCATATATGAATCATATATGAAGATCATAATGAAGAAATTAGAAGAGAAACCGATTATATCCCTAAATTGCTCTCACAGCTGTGGGTAGGAGTATTTTTGATCAAATAAGAGACAGAGGCAATTACAAAAGATAGAAGAGAAACCTTTGACTACTTAAAACTGAAAAGCTTCTGCTTAGACAAAATTAATGCACCTAAGATAAGAAGGGGAGTGGTTGAATAGGAAGAAAAACCTTTGTATGAAATCTCTCTGATGAGGGTTTGGTTTATATAAACAATTTTTATGTAGCTATTCCCCAGTAGATAAGTGCTCAAAGGATATGAACAAAAGTTCTCAAAAGAAGAATTGTAAAGTATTCACAACCAACATGAAAGAATGCTCCAAAGCACTAATAAGAAGAGAAATGCAAATCAAAGCAACTTGGAGATTTCCCCTCACATCCTGCAAATTGGCAAAGATGACCAAAAATGGTAATAGTCAATTTGGAGGGCTTGTGGAGTAATAGGCACACTAATACATTGTTGGTGGAGCTATGCAATAAAGAACCATTTTGGAAAATAATTTGAATTATGCAAATAAAGGGATTAAAATGTGCATACATTTTGAACGAGAGACTTCATTACTGGGCTTGTACCCCAAAGACACCATCTATAAGAAGAAAGCCCCCATATACTGCAAAATATTTATAATAGCTCTTTTTGTGATAGCAGAGGATTGGAAACAGTGTATATCCATCAGTCAGGGATTGGCTGAACAAATTGTGGTACATAGATGTAATAGAATATTACTGTGCTGTAAGAAATGGTATATGTGGCAAATACCATGAAGCATGGGAAGATCTGTATGAACCAGTGCAGAGTAAAGTAAGCGCAGCCAAGAAAACAACACACATGGTAACTTGTTCAGTTGTGTTGGACTCTTTATAACTGTGGACCGTACTGTCCTTGGGGTTTTCTTGGCAAAGATACTGGAGTGGCTCACCATTTCTTTCTCCAGTGGATTAAGGAAAAGAGAGGTTAAGTGACTTGCCCAGGGTCACACAGCTACTGAGTGTCTGAGGCCAGATTTGAACTCAGGTCTTCTTGACTCCAGGCCCAGCACTTGCCCTGAGCACCTAGCTGTCTCCATGCAGTAACTACAACTACATAAATGGAAAGAACAACTACATACAAACAAATCAAAAGTAAAACTAAAAAATTATAAAGCTCAAGTGGGACTCAAATGAAGAGAGAGGAGAAGACACCCCCAACCTGCCCCTTCATGGAGGTGGGAGTTCCACAGGTGTTATACACTGCATGTATTTTTCTACTTTTTCAGAATATTGCTCTGTTGTGCTGATTTTTTTTTTCTTTCTAAAAATACTGTTATATGGGATGACTGTCTGGGAAGGATCCATGAGATGTTATGACAATGTAAGAGACAGAAAATATCAGTAAAAACTTACTTTAAACAAACAACTAGAGGCAAAGATCACCCATGGTCAAAAGCAACAAAGCAGTATATTTAGGTTGAATACAATAAAGTGTGTGATTAAGTTCTGACTTGTATGTTAAAATAGAGCTGTGTATGTGTAGCCACCTCTCCAGTACTGAGCTTAATTTGTACTCATCTGGTAGTTCTGTTCCATTGTGGAATGGAAGACACTTGCTGCTGATGCCAGGAGGGGAGAGCCTAGGTGGGGATTTGAGTAGGCACATGCTACTGACGGTGGCCAAGAGTTTGCTGGGAAGGGAGTAACAGTTGGGTGGTGGCAGCCAGTCCGTATTTTTGAGCCATATCAGGCCTAATTAGGAAGCCAGTCTTATGTGTCTTGGGTTCTTGCTTCTCCTTTTCTTGGTGTCTCATTTTTTACTTTCTCTTATATCTGATTCAGGATGATCCTGAGACAATTGGGAGCATAATGGCGTTTCTCATCCCCTTTGTAGCCTGCATTTTTCAGGTGGGTTCTTGTTCAACTTTGGTTGGCAGGTTAAACTTTTATATTTTGTTGTTTTTGTTTGAAGTTTCAACACTATTAGGTACTTGTTTTATGTCATAGTATTTTCCCTGGAATTTCAAACAATAGAATATCAGAGCCACAAGGAATCTTAAATATCATTTAATCTAGTCCCCTCATTTTACAGATGAGGAAGTAGGCCTATCCTAGAGAGGTTGGAACTTGCCCTAAGTCAGACAGTTAGCCTTGCCAAAGCTAGATAATTATTCATCAGGCAGGACAAAGGAAGCTTAGAGTTGAGGAAATAATCTTACCTGGCCTATCCTATGTGATATTTTGATTTGTACTCATTGTTGAGAGACATAATTATGTGTAGCTTGAGTCTCAGAAAATAAAATCTTTGTCACGCTGTTTAGAAATCATGATACTGAATTAGGTAGACTGGTAGGGAAAATTAACCATAAAAATTGCTATTTTAATTCTAGGAAATGTTTTTTACTCTTTTTAGATAGTGAAACAGACATAAAGAAATACAGCAGGAACTTTGGATTGTTTTAAATCATTTTTCAGATAGCCATCTACTTAAAGCCAGCCAGGCTCTTAGGTCCCTATGGAATGAGCCAAATTACAATAAAATTTCTGCTAATCATTTCTTTCCAATGGTGAAGGTCTATCTGTTACAGAGCACTTTAAAGCTAGTAGTATTTTATTACTTTAAGGTGCTCGTGGCACTTGGTGACCATTCTCTGCACTTGTAAATAAATATGGATCATTTCCAGTGATTCTGTCACTTACTCGCTAGGTGACCTTAAGCAAATAACTGCTGAGAGCCTGAAAGGGTTTCTTAGGTGGTCTCCAAGAGTCCTTCTTGCTCTGACGTCGAATGCTGGATTTGTCATCAGAGGGCCAGCTTTCAGATTCCACTTTTGCTACTTTGATGATTTGGGGCAAGTCACATTTCTTCTCTGAGCCTCAGTTTCTTCATCAGCACAGTGATGGAGTGGACTGCATGACTTTTGAGTTCCCCTTCACCTCTAAGTCTATGAGTCTCCACCAGCCTCTGATAGCTGTGAGGGCAGAGGACCGGATTTTTAGAGCTGCAAGAGACCTTACAGCTCGTCCCATTTTGCTCCTAAAAATTCTGTAAGTAAGGAAATGAAGTTCTCTGAGTCCTACCAGTTTGTTCCATGTATGAATTAAATTGCTGCACTTACCTCATAGTGCAAAGGGAAACTGCATGTGGATTTTGCAAATTCCAGCGCTTATCAACTGTTTAACTAGCTTCTTGGGACCAAATAGCCAGTATGGTTTAGTTTAATATTTTTACCAAGATGTATCTGCCCAATTTCTTAATTAGAAATTTGTCTTGTTGAATGTGGATAAAAAAAGCCATTTTACTTTGGAATATATGGGCTAGAAATATAACCTTTGATATTATAAACAGCTGAGTGGTAGAAATTATATATGATGTGACTAATATTCTCTTTCATTTGAAATTCTTTTTCATATGAAACATTTTTCCTCTTCTTCCTGTTTTCCTCCCCCCTCAAAAAAAATCTGATCTGTAATAAACCTATTATCTTGTCATAGTAAGAGCGTGACAGTAAGTGACCAAGAAGGTGAAAACAGTAATGATAAAAACTAATATAACATATTTATTGGCATTAGGATATTTTACAATAAAGTTTTATATATATGTGTATATATACATATATATGTAGTAACTAATTATTTTTCAGGGCATACCTATGTATGTTTATATAATTTCAAAGTTATCTCATTTGGGGGGTGGTAACTGGTTTTCTGGGTGGCCTGTTTTGGGCCAATAAGGTAATAAGACTGATTTTCTTATGTAATTAATTAAAATTAGCTCATTACGTTAGCTATACAGATGTTTGCAGTAAACTTCCTGGTTCAGCATCCTGTATTTACAATGCTGTTTCCCCTTCAGAATTTGTTTACATAGTGGAATGCTAGATACTCTCCTGCTTTTGATAAAATCTGTAGCCACAGATTGAGGCAAAGAGGCTAAAGACAGTTAGTTATCTGTGGCTTATTTCTTAGGAGAATTTGATAGATTACAGCTGACTCTGAATTTTATAGCTGATTAATGTTCAGTATTTCAATGCTAAAGCATATAGAATTGGGACATCAGTTTATTCCACTGTATATGTTAGTGTATTATCCAAATTCCCCCTCCATTAAAAAAAAATCCTTATTTAAATAATCATCCAAATGAAAAAAGAGAGAGAGAGAGTGAGTGAGTGTGTGTGTGTGGGGGGGGGGGGGGGGGGGGGGGGGGATGGAGAATAAAGAGTACCAGATGGAAATACCCAGGAGACCTGGGTTTGTGACTCAGCTCTACCATTGGCTAGCTGTGTGTAACCTTAGGGAAGTTTCTTCTTTCTGAGCCTCAAAATTCTTCACATTATACAACTGATCTATGAGGCTCCATATAATTCTGACAATCTAAATATCCTTTAGATTGCTTTATTACATCTTGAGTCATAAGAAATGGTGTAAATATGTTAAAAATAGAGGTGTCTATAGCCACTTCTGTCTGATGCCAAGCTAAGTCCTCAGTGTGGAAGGAAATTAATCACAAATTTTCCTTGTCTTTGGTATGTACTATATTTTGAGAGAAAAACTGCTGCTCTATTTCCATTTGAGACCATCTTATCAACTTCTAGATAATGTCACCTGAGGCCAGACAAGGTCACTCCTTATTTATGTAAATGGGAGACCCAGCAACATGCTCTCTTTTTCTACGTTTTGTTTTGTTTTTGGTTTTTTTTTGGCTAGGGAATGGGGTTAAGTGACTTGCGCAGGATCACACAGCTAGTAAGTGTTATGTGCCTGAGATCAGATTTGAACTCAGGTCTTCCTGAATACAGGGCCAGTGCTCTATCCACTGTGCCACCTAGCTGCCCCACTCTTTTTCTACATTTTTGAAAAAGGAATAGCCTCAAGGATACTACTACTGTGAGAGACTTGTTTTAAGGAATTATAGGAAACATAAAATCAGGACACAACTTTCAAGAAACCAGAATCTTCTTAGTTATTTATGAAAGTGGATCATGAAAGTCTGTGATGTGGCAGTGAAAATTTCAGACTTCTGGAAACCCAGAGTGGGAAAGGACTTCTCAGACCATCTCCTCTGACCTCCCACCCTAGACGAGAAGCGTAGGGTTGTTGTGTGGAAGGCACTTTGTAAATCTTCAAGTGCTATAGATGGAAGTAGACATGAGTCCATCCCCTCTGTGGTCTTCAACCCCTGAGAAGTGATTAGCATCTCTGTTGGACACTTCAGTGATGGAGAGTTCAGTAGTTCATCCAGCAGCCCGTTGTCAGTGCAGTTCAGAAAAGAAGTAAGTGCCTCTTTCACTGTCCAATGTACTGTGCTGGTGCTAGAAATACAAAGACAAAACCCAAAGCAGGCCTTGTCCTCAAGTTGTTTTTCTGAGTTAAAACCTACCACCCTGTGTCTTCTCCTTCCTGATCCTAGTTGCAGCCTCTGGCTACAGTAGATCATTTGATTCTACTTTCAGTGACAGCTTTGCAGATGATTGAAGGTAGTGTTCATGTCTTATAGCAGGGTGGCCCCCATGGTTTTCAGTAATGGACTGTGTGATCAGAAAGCCATGTGTGTAGGACACATGAATAAAATTATATTATTAGGATCATAGAATAATAGATTTAGACCTAGAAGGCACCTGAGCACCCATCTAGTCCAATCCCCTATTATTAAAGACATTAGGCTTCAATTACAGTTCCTAATTGACAGGGTGTGATACCTGGTGCCCTGCCCATCCAGGGTCACAGGGCCCAGCCCAGAGAGTCAGAGGCTCTGGCCATAGCGTCTCCTGCTGCTTGGTACCTAGCAGGTGATTCCACTCTTGTTGAATTTTTAGTCACGGCCATAGTAATAGTGGCTGGCACAAGGCTAAATCCTTTTGATGTACCAGTTCATGTGTGCTAGCAATTAGGACAGATTTCTTTTGGCCAGAAAGCATGGCAGGAGCACACTGGGGAAGCAGGGGAGAAGGTCAGGTGTTTCATCTGTAGCCATCGTGTTCAACATCGGAGACCTGTACTGTGTGCATGTGTGTGCGTGTGTTTGTAATTTTCCTAGCTTTTGAGAATATCTTGTAAATCATAAAATGCCATATCAATATGTGATTATTTTTATTGAGTCGTTTCAGTTTGTGACCTCGTTTGGGGTTTTCTTGGCAAAGATACTAGAGTGGTTTGCCATTTCCTTCTCCAGCTCGTTTTACAGGTAAAACTGAGGCAAACAGGGTTAAGTGACTTGTGCAAGGTCATACAGCTAGTAAACGTCTGAGTCCACATTCGAGCTCGGGTCCTCCTGATTCTAGCTTCCCTGTAGTATATCAGTATAAGCTTTGATTTATTAGAAGGCAATCTGTAAGTATTAAGCTTTACATCCTCATTCGACCGTTTCATTGTTGTTAATAGGACTTCTTTCCCTCTGTCCTTGCAGTGTTATCTGTACCTGTTCTACAGTTCCACAAGGCTTCTGAAGGTGGCCGTCATCCTGTTCTTCATTTGTCTGTGTAATATTTACCTGCATGGCCTAAGGAACCTCTGGCAAATACTCTTCCACATAGGAGTGGCTTTTCTGTCTTCCTATCAGATCCTGACGAGACAGCTGCGAGACAAAGTGCTCCATGGTGGTGTTTGACACCCTGAGGCACTAAGGCTTGGACCGGGCTGCTCTCCTTTCTTCCTCGGTGAGGGGGAAGGGCAGGGGAATGCACAGTTTTTCCTGTGGAAAGAGGATTACAGCCACTTGTCTGGTTTGGTCTTTCCCCTTTCAGTTTTGGGTCTCGTGGGTACATGTCCTAATAGACTGGACAGAAGAACTGAAGGTCCAGACTTCATCATGACAGATGTAGTGGAAGGGAAGAGGAGAGCTTCTGTGTACCGCATACATTCCAGGTGGATGCAGAGCAGAGGGCAGGCTCTCCCATTCAGTTTATCATCTTATGACTTACATTTCTATAGTGCTTCAAAGTTTACAAAGCCCTTTCCTCCCAGTAGCCTTGTGAGGGGGGTAGAGCAAGGATCATTATCCTGATTTACAAATCATAGGATTATAGATTGAGATTTGGTGCCATCATGTCCAACCCATTCATTTTTCAGATAAGGAAACACAGCTAGAAAGTGTTGAAACCTGGATATGAACCCAGGTCTTCAGATGCCAAGCCTCTCCACTTGAACGGGAACATGTTTGTAAAATATTTTCCAGTAACAAAACTAGAACTACTTTAGATTGGAATAATTGAATCAAGAACTGAAAAAATGTTTTTTTTGTTGTGGCTGTGCTATGCAGTCATGTGGTAGAGGTAGAGATACTATTTTTGGAGATTAGTTGTTTGCCTCAGAAGAACTACTTGTTTCTTATTTATACTTTTTAGTTTCTTAATTCTCCTCAATTAGCCAAAATGTGATGGCAGACATTTTAAAGAGGGTCCGTAGATAGTTTTAAAAGTAGTTACTTTAAAATAGTCACCGGAATAAATTATGAAATTGAGCTCTAATTGCTGTCTAGAAAACACAAGCTAATTAGATTTTCTGGAAATTAGTTTTAAAGTTTCCAGTGCTGATTAGTATGACATAGCCCAAATTCACTTATAATGCTCATCTGGCATGAGAAAAAATATGAGCTTTCCTAGTGTTTAAGGCTACTGATTTTAATTTTTTTTTTTTTAACATTTTAACCTACCTGGTGGTGGGAAAGTTAATTAAAGAACTTTTGGGTAATCAGATACCTATTTGCAACTATTTGTACTATGTAATACAAGGCTATGATCTAATCATTTTTAAAAATTCACTAATATTACATATATTGAGCATATTCAGATGGATAGATCTAAATGATTGGAAAAGCATTTATTAAATGCTTATTAATGTGCCAGGCACTGTGCTAAGCACTAGGGTATGATAGTTCAGGAATTGCTTGCTAGATATGGTCTCCAGTTGGCCGGTAACTGGATTAGATAAATTACATTGACTCAGGAGCACTGTATAATGTTGATTGAGAAGAAATGCAATAGAAAAGAAAAATGAAAAGAGATGAATTAAAATCAGATGGGTACAGAACAGTTGATAAAACTTTATGTGTCCGAAATCTACCTGTCACAGCAAATAAAAGTGGTTGGAATGAAGCTGTTGGTTGTACAGATGGGGTAGCACCTTCACAGGGCCACTGTTGAATTTTAAAGGCTTAATATCAACATCCCCTTCCTCTCTCATTTCCCTTGTCCCCACACCATCCAACTTGGTCATATTAACCAAACTCACAAGAGATGACTGAATTATAAACCAGAATATAAATTTATTAATTTACTATAGAAGCCACTTTGAGTTGGCCAGGTGATTGAATGGTTAGTCAGTACCATCTGTTATTCCTTTGTGGAAACTCTACTAGGAAAACCAAGTTAATAATAGAACTTGGCTTGACTAGTTAGAGTCAGAAGGAAGAGACACTAGAAGGTGTTAAAGGATATTGTCCTCAAACTCTAATGGCTGGAAGCATTCTCTTTGTAGGGATCTACTTCATTGTAGACTGGATGCTTTTGCTTGTTGATTAGGATGTCTTTTCCCCTGCAGAGTTCTGGATCAGAATTAAGAGAACTTTTTGGTTTTCCTTTTTCCTAGATTCTGTGTAGACCTGCCTTTCTCTTGTGACATCATTGTCATGAATGTTACAATGAGTTTGACCAGGTCCTAATTTATTTTACCTTATTTTTCCTTCAAATAGGTATCTCCTTAAGGTAGTTTTGGGAACCTTGTTAGCCTCATCAACAAATACCATCTCTTTGTATAAGTTAGTTTAGTGGGTATCTAATAACTTTACCAATTTTATATTTATTCCACTGTTCAAAACATGTTTTGTCTCATGGAAATTTTGTGGCGTTTTATATGTATGTTTTTGATGCTGAATTCAAAAACACCAATGGAATACTCACTGTTATCGAGTAAAATGAATTTTTATAGAAATATGCAATATGAGGGAGTAATAAAATATGGTTTGATTGAGGGGAAGTGGAAATGTGTAGGGCAATTGAGATATGTTCTTTTCTACGTTTAGTTATGCAGCGAAACTGTCAACGTGTCACAGACCTTTCTGTAAGTTGTGTGTTCACTGTCGTTTGATAAACATCACTATTGTTTCTGATCATGTTTTTTCAAATATTTGTATTTTGTTTACATTTTAAAAATTCCCATTATGCCTCATAAGTGTGTCAACCATCTGAATGTTTTTTAAGTATATGGTGAGCTAACTTTCGAATGTCAGAGTTAAGACTTTATTTCTGTGGTCAGGAAAACATGAATGGACTCTATTGGTTGGTGATCAGAACGAGACTTGATCCCCTTACCTGTGCTCTGTCATTTGTGTTAGATCACTAAGTGGCTAGATACATAGACCTTGTCATGGGTCATTTGAAATTCCTGTAATTTGGGGAGAACAAAAAAGAGTATTCAACAGATTGCTTTATGAAATAGGGATTACCTCCAAATCTAAACATAAACTGTGCAGTATCCAAATCTACCTTTGACTCTCAAGATCTGATTTGCACAGTGAAGATCTACCTGTACCAGAACCACCAGACAGTTGGAATTTGGATGAAGATAATGGACCAGATAGTGATGAAGAGACTCAGCCTGCCAAGGTGTAGGAGATAAGCAAGCAGTTGTTCCCCCACTGGAAGTAACTTTTCCATCCTCATCTCCTTCTGTAGTAATTCAAGAAGACCTAAACGACCTTCCTTGGTGATGTTAGCCAAAAATGAAGCTAAACTTTGAGGCAAAAAGGCTGGACTCTCCTGTAAGAGGGCACTAAAACATATTCAAAAAGGGGCATTCCTCTTGAGAAGCTTGACGTAAGGAAAGTATTGGCATATCTCTGAGGATCTCAAAGGGATTCTTTTACTAGGATTATATCTTGAGTGTACCAGATAGTGCTGTTATTTGTGATCAGGACAGCAGAGAGAGAATATCAGCTAGTACTTTAAAAAACACTGGCTTCACCATCTATAGTCATATGAAAAAATGCTCTAAATCATTATTGATTAGAGAAATGCAAATCAAAACAACTCTGAGGTACCACATCACACCTATCAGATTGGCCAACATGACAAAACAGGAAAATGATAAATGTTGGTGAGTATGTGGGAAAATTGGAACTCTAATGCATTGTTGGTGGAGTTGTGAAATGATCCAACCATTTTGGAGAACAATTTGGAACTATGCCCAAAGGGCTACAAAAATGTGCATACCCTTTGATCCAGCAATAGCACTTCTAGGGCTATATCCGAAAGAGATCAAACAAATGGGAAAAGGACCCACATGTACAAAAATATTCATAGCAGCTCTTTTTGTGGTGGCAAAGAATTGGAAATTGAGAAGATGCCCATCAATTGGGGGAATGGCTGAGCAAGTTGTGGTATATGAATGTAATGGAATACTATTGTTCTATAAGAAATGATGAACAGGCTGACTTCAGAAAAACTTGGGAAGACTTATATGGTCTGATGCTGAGTGAAGTGAGCAGAACCAAGAGGACTTTGTATACAATAGCAGCCATGTTATGCAATGACTAAGAATGTTAAACTGAACCCTTCCCAGCATTATGAGGATCTAAGGCATCTCCAGAGGCCTCGGGATGGAAAATGCTGTCCACATCCAAAGAAAGAACTATGGAAGTCGAATCGCTCTCACTTATTTTTACCTTCAGTTGAGTTTTGTTTCATCTTTCTGATGGTTCCTCCTATTGGTTTTAATTTTTACTTACAACTTCACTAATGTGAAAATATGTTTAATGGGTATGTAAATGTAAAGCCTATGTCAGATTGTGCGCCGTCTTGGGGAGTGTGGCGGGGGGGGGGAGAAAAAGGGAGAAAAAATTTTCAACTCAAAAGCATATGGAAAAAAAAAATTAAAAAAAAACCACTGGCTTCAAAGAACTGATTTCAAGAAAGAAAAATGTGGACACTAGTCAGCCATAAAAAATTTTCTTACCTCTGCTGCATATTAAGTTTAGTTTAATGAGAAGATTTGTCAAGATGGTGGATTAAAATGATGCAGACTTAATTTTGTTTACTTGAAAAGTAAATTTCTAAGAGTGAATGAGGCTAAAATCAAAAAGACATTTATTGGTTCCTCAAATAAGGGAAGTGATGAAAGATGAACATCTCAGAGAACAGCTGATTGAAGTTAAAGAAGCTACATGAAATCCTTCTAAAAAGTGACTAAAGACTTTCTGGCAAAATACTAAGGCATAAAATTTCCAAGGAGTTTGGATGAAGAAGATGAACCTGATTACTTAGATTGTAATGATGGGCACGGCATGACAAGGTAGGAGACCAGCAAGGTGTAGATTCCCCTTCCTGTCTGTTGTCAGTGACTTTTTAGAAGCTTTATAAGGTTATGGAATGGAGTGTCATTCAAGAGCCTTGGATTCATATTTGGACTTCTTCCTAGAAAATTGAGGTGCTATCAGTGATGAGTACAGAAATCTCTACACTGGAAAGACGATATCAGGGCAAGCAGAGTCCAAACATGCCAGCTCACTGCTGTTGGGAGCTAAAGAAAAATGTTACACAGCTGAAATGTTGTAATCGTTTTAATCATTTTTCAATCATGTCTTGACTCTTTGTGACCCCATTTTGGGTTTTCTTGGCAAAGATACTGGAGTGGTTTGCCATTTTTTTCTCCAGCTCACTTTACAGATGAGAAACTGGAGTAAACTGGGTGAAGTGACTCTCCCAGGGTCACACAGCTAGTAAGGCTGGATTTGAATTCAGGAACATGAGTCTTCCTGACTCCAGGTCCAGCATTCTATCCATTACGCTGCCTAGCTGTCAATTGAAATACAACAGGAAATAATCCATAGCTGTATTTTAGGTGAGTTAAACTAGCATAGTTCTGTTTAGCAAAAAATTATTTTTAAAAAGTATAAAACTGATTCCTGTGAAGATGGTAGATGGATAAAATCCATATTTGAAATCAGCGAAAAAAAAAGTAATATGAGGTTCACCCATATTTATGAATGTGACGAGAAAGAAGCTTGTTGTCCAATGGTGTTTTTTGTTGTTGTTATTTGTTCCTTTTGTCTTACTTGGTCCTTAAATTCTGGGAGTGAACCCTATTTGAACTAATAGTACCCTAGGCGCTAACCTAATGAGATAACTGGAGCTCTTAATTAACTGGACTGTTTTTTCTGCTTCAGAATTTTAATGGCAGTAGATTTTTTTAAAGAGTTTGAAGCAGGGCTGTCTGTCTTAGTTTAAAAGTTCTCTGTTCCCCCTTCCCCCCAAAAAAGATGTAACAGAGTGAGGAAGGATTAGTATAGAGTTCTAGATTTGGAGTCAGAGGACTTGGGTTCAAAATCCAGATCTTCCACTTTCCCGTGTGTTTAACCTTATCTCAGTTTCCTTATTGCTGGAACAAAAGGATTGAGTTAGATGGCATCTCAGGTACTTTCAAGCTCTTGAATCTGATCCTGTGAGCTTCTAGGGGATGTTTTAGGGGGAGGGTTTTGGAGCAGGCCTAGTCTCTTAGGCGTCTCTGTGTGGACAGTGACCATGGATTGTCACACCATATAATTGTCTTCCCCAGGAAAGACTCTTGAATCATGGGATGTTTTTGAGGCTGGAAGGGGCCTTAGAGAATATCTAGGCCAATGCCCTCATTTGACAGACAAGGAAACAGAGTCTCTTCTTGTTTAAGAACTGGAGATGATGGTATTTGTATAGGGCTATTTTAAAATCATGTATGTTAAAGTGCTTTGCAAAATATATAAAGTGTCATACATGTAGGAAGTGGTAGTAAACATCACAGGCTTCTCAGAGTAAATCTTGTGTAGGGAGTGTGGTACCAGGGAGAATGGACTTATATTTTAGTAAGACTTTTCAACAAAGTTTAAAACAAAATGATGTTCCCATTGCTTAAGCATACCAGTGAATGGAGAATTTGCTATAAAACCATAGGTCTAGGTTCTGAGCTTTCCCTTCTTTCTCTTTCCCCTATGGCAAGGAAACCTTGTTGGGCATTTGGACATATTTCTCCTACTTTTCTCATAAGGCCAGGTGCTATAGAAAAAGAGAATAAGTCAAGCTGAAGAGAAAAGTTTGAAGACCATGCCCTAATGGCTACTTTCTGTCCCCTAAGGCTTTCCATAATAATAGTAGTTCACGTTTTTATTCCATTTTAAGGCTTATGGAGTGTTTCCCTTGAAACAGCTTTGTGAAGTATAGACAACAGAAATATGATTCTCCATTTTCAGATGAGGACACTAAGAATCCAAGGGGTGAAGGGGATTTGTCCAAGGTAATATGACTAGTGAGTGATAAGACTCTGGACTTGAGTCCAGGTCTTGTAACTACCAAGTTTGGTGTTTTTTCTTCTTTGCTGTTCTTAGGCCATTTGTATTTCAGATAGTTCCAATATTTGGCATCCTCAGGTTTTCTTAGGAGTTTGTGCTAGAAGGGCTTTTGGTTCTTTTTTTCTTTTAAAAAATCTAGTTACAGGTAAGGAAACTGATAGAGTTGATTAAGTGAATTTTCCAAGGTTACATGGGTGACCATTATGTAGCTCTGCTACATAATCTTACAGTTAGACATTTTTAAGAAAGTGTTTAAAATACCTTTGTCAATTTAAATTTTCACAATTGCTGCATATTGCAGAAAAAAGGAGAAACCCTCCCAAATAAACATTTAAAAAAACATTTGTGTTTTAATTTGTGAAGCCTCTTACAGGGAAAATTATTTCCCTTCTTTATTTTCCCCAAAAGCCTACAGGACTGAATCCTCCAAAATACTATTCTTTGACAAGAGTAGAACATTTTTGATGATTTTTTAAAAATGTAAGTCTCTGTTTAGAAATATGTGAAAATGGAAAATGTGAGAAGTCTCTTGCCAAGGCCATAAGGTTTGGCAGCAAATCTACCTAAAGAAGATGTGTCTGTAGAATCTGGAAATGACCAGCACTAGGAAGTCCATCTGAGACCACAGGCCAGTTTGTCTAAAGAGATTTTTTCTTTGCTCTTTTTGGTTTCAGGTACAGAATGGGTTCAGCATAAACTTGTGACTTGATATGCCTGACCTGTGTTTCTTTGAATCTTGGTTGTTTTCTCAGCAGCCTTTTTTTGCCCTCTTATGAAATAGTATCTTGAAGGAAACAATTTGTCCTTCTGGAGTGATGCTTTATGCATTTGGTTTTTACTTACTACTCTG